TTTTTTTTTATGTTGGCATTCTATTATTCCATTTGTTTGGGGTTTTTATAAGGTTATACGGATTGGCAAACATTTCACATTTTACAAACCAGTCATTTAAATGTAAAGTTTCGGAATTTTAACGGAAACTATTTTGTTTCGTTCCATGTCGAATGTATGCAAAGAAAAAATGTGAATAAAAGAGAAATACTTACTTGATTTGCTACTTCACTTGTTTTTTTTTTATGGGCAGACGCCTTTTTTTATCAGCGGTCTTGTTTTTGATGTCTCCAAGAATAAACAATACCACAATAAACAACCGACCTTGTGTCACATGTTGCCCCAGTGGGGGGGGGTGAGACTCAATATCCAAGTATTACAGTTACTTCTCACGTCGGTTTTTATGGTGTGATGAATAAGAGTTTTTTTTTGTACGCCGTTAGTAACCAAATGATGTGGTGAATAGGTATTTTTTCTTGTACAAGTCGGATTATCAAAATGACATACAGAATAGTATGATTTTTTGAACGTCAAGGTCACTAAAATGTATGTTGGTTTTTATACATGCCCAGGTTATCAAAATGATGTGGATAGTCGTATGTTTTTTACACGTCTGTGGTCACCATAATGGTACGGAGTCACTCACATCATAGCAGCAGAAATCAGCCTCGTTTTCACGGAGATAAAACATACTTGACAGGAATAAAACATACAGAAATAACAGGAAAAGCATGGTAAATTTTATGTAAATTACATAATATTTATTTATATTTTTCTTGTGTGTATTTTTTAGGTTACAATTCTTTTATGTTACATATAATAAAATGAAGAAGTCACTCCGTATTATTACACGATAAATCACTGAGAGGAGTTGGACACGTGTTGCCCGTACCAAGGTTCGTTGTGAAGAAGTCGAATTTAACATCTTTTGGCGGGATGATTGTATTTCTGACAGGGACACTTCTCGTTGCATGCTGGGCGTATTTTTGTTATTTTAAATTTTTATTTATTTTAAACAAAGTTTAAATGTTATTATTTTATTTATAATTTTCACTTTTATTATTATATATTTTATTTTTATTTATTTACAATAATAATGTCCCTGCAAACGACATCGCGCAATCCCCAAACGCAGATTCTAAGACCAACTGAAGTCTTCACTCCTTCAAAGAGGAATCAGCCCTAAGACCTGGGAAACAGAAGCCGCCGAGGTTAGATCCTGGTGAAGAGCAATTTATTTTGGCTGTTCATTTTCGAGAATAGGAGAAACACTGAAGTGGAAGTGAAAAGAAGTTAACGCAAGGCCCATCAGCTTCTTTCAAGACCATCACTCACCCTGACATGCGATAAATGCCTGAGAGTTTTCCATTTCCGAGTTGGCCCCCTGAACCATGTTGGTTCAAGCATCATAGAAGGCCCTGATGAACCAAACTCGGAAACAACTGAATTCTAATCTAGCAAACTACTTTCACATTACTAAAACAATTTCTTATTAAGATACGGATTATCTATTCATTTTTATAAATTGATTAACCATTCTCTTTTATTACTAAACTGACTAAGAATCCACTTATAGAACTGTCTGACCATCCTCCATTATCATGGAATTAGCCTAGCAATCTTTCTTATTGCTAAATATCAATTATTGTAATCAATTATATAAATTTTGATGAGCTTTTCTTTCGGGCAATTTATTGGGTTTGGTTTGGTTGGTTTTGTTTTACGGTATATCAACCTCAATAGGTTATTTAAGGCTGACCAGATTTTTATTGCTGGTAATATTTTTGTTAAAAAATGTATTGATGGTAATAATGTATTGCTGGCAATAGTATTTTCTTCAAAAATTCATTGCTGGTAATAATTTTTTTTTTACAAAAACGTATTGCTGGTATTAAAACACTTTCATAGTGTTTTAACCCCCCGTTTGGCATTAACTATTTGCTCATATCTGGGACCCTAACAGGCGCTGCCACCCCGGGTCGGGATGACTCTGGGAACACAAGGAATTAAAAGGTGTTTCCACGCTCCTCAAAACCTCCCGATCAGAGGCCTTGTTGTCGGATGTAGTTTATCGTCTTACCCAGGACACCGGATGTAGCAATTTATTTCTACTAGTCGTATTTTGATTAATTTTGAATGAAATATTGCCAATTTTTATTTTTGAATAGTATTTCTGACACCCTACTTGCTTTACTTCACTTGCTTTATTTATATTAACGGTATTAGTAACTTAGAAATATTGTCTTGAATTTTTATCAGATAAACATTGTGTTATAGAGTGATTTTAGGCTTGTATTTGTACTGTCAGTCCTAAAATAGATTCGACGTACAAAACGTTAGGAACTTGATATAATAGGTATGACGCAGAGTAAATCTAGTTGTGGTCGCTGATACTTTAGTATCCGACTAACGGTCGTCCGGCATCGACTGACTGACCGACCGACTTGTTACTCTTACTACTCCTAGTTATTATAGGTGGGAGAGTTTATTAACTATAGAATAGGGGTGTTCCACTATAACACATTGTCAAACATTTAACTGTTATTTCTTTGATCTTAATTCTAATTGCTTTATTTACATTAGTACTAATACTATAGTGAAATGTTATTTGATGAAGCCTTGTCAATCTGTATTAATTTCTGTTTGTTTATTCTTATTATATTTGAATTCCATCGCAACTACTTCGAGCTTAAGTTGCCGGCTGGTTCGCTTTGTCTAAATCACATTGAAATACAATAAAAATAAATACAAAGAGAAAATTAATAATGATTGTCATTGCTTCATTAAGTACAAATAATAATCATGAAAATATTACTACTACTACTAAGTATAGAACCTTTAACCCATTGGTATCTGTCTATATTTCTGAGATGAGGCATTATGTACACTATTTACATTATTTGGACTATTGTCCTCATCTTTGTCGCCATATATATTACAACGTTTCGGCCGTTGTACGTTTCGACCTTCTTCAGGTGGTTGGAATGTCGAACTGAACCCTTTATTTCGCTCACTCGGGTAAACTGTTCTAGTTCCACGTCCCATGTCTAATGGATCTCAATTGTCAGCTATCTCCTGTTAATTCCCCTCTACAAGTTCTACACTATCTTAACTCCAGGACACGTGGCACAGTGGATAAAAGCGTTAGTTAGATCCAATGACAGGACCCAAAGAGTGTGAGTTAAATACCTGGTTAAGTAAAGCAGTTGTCGTAGATAAGCGTACTTTTTTTTTAGTAACAAAACATTTGTGTCCAACACTCTCCTGGTGTTTATTTTTTCCACTCATTATCATAGACTTATGGTTCCATTAAGTTGCAATGAAAACCAATTAAAATGAAAGAATGCCAATTAAAATTAAAAAATACCAATTAAAATTGAAATACTAATTAAAATGAAAGAGATACCAATTAAAATGCATCAATTTAAACGAAATAAATACCAATTAAATCGAAAAACACGCCAATTAAAATGAAAGAATTAATTAAAACGAAAAAGTACCAATTAAAATAAAATAAATACCAACTAAAAGGGTAAAAGTACCAATTAAAATAGAAAAAATGTCAATTAAAATGAAAAAATATAAATTAACATGAAAGAAATATCAATTTAAATTAATAATGTCTATGCTTAGATTAATCAGGCATTTAACAATCCAACCCGATTCACGTGTTGAGTGCGACTCAGCATAGCAAGTGACTCGATTTGGAAAAAGGATTGTTTAAATAATCAGGTGAAGCTTTCTTTTGTTAGTATGGCAGAAGACCAAATGCGAGCTTTTGAAATCCTGGATTTTATATTCTCTAAAAGTTTGTTTGAAATATGTAACAAACTTAACGATCAAGCATGTTTTTAATTAACATTTATTAAACATCGTTCAACCGAGTAAGGATTGAACTCACAACAGGAGTAATGTACTTGATTTTTTTTTCCACGGTACCTCTTTCGTTATTGTTATATTAAAACAAACAAAAGGCTACATGTGCCAGTGGCAAAAACTAAATCATGCGTGCCAACATTAAAACTATAGAGGCATATATCTTTTTAGCTGCGCATGCGTAAACTGGAACATTGTTATCCAGTGAATATTATTCTTTCACGAGTCGCATGTTGGCAGCTGGAAATGATCAGCAAATGCTCCACACAACACAAGAGATTTGACAATCTTATTGTCATTCGTTGAATAAATACGGCTATCAGTAACATATGCTACCAATCATCTTAGTGACAGACGCTCGAACAGAATACTGTGTAGGTGATGCCAGAAGAGATTTCGTTTTTGTTTTCTTCTTTCATTTCCTAATTTCTGTCCCCTCACTTTCATTATTATAAACGCTTTTGCTGTGAAGCAGATGTTAACGGTATTCTTTGTGAACATTCTTCAGGATGAATGCGATCACGTCTCTCCACACGTTCCTTTTCCTTATTGTGAATTGCCTTAGTTTCTTGGGAAAAACAGTGGTTGCCGCTTGAGCTCTCCATGGTTTAGAATTCAGTTTTGATTGCCTCCCAGTCTACCTTGATATTTAAGCTAAAACTGGAGGCAGACGAAATGAATTAATATCTTTCCCAAAGTCAACAGGTCCGGCTGAAATTTGAACTCGCAAAGCCGATTTCACACTCCGGTACTCTACCCGTATTTTACATGGTTATAAGTGTACTCACTGCATCCTTAAACGTAGCCTTGTACCAGTCTATAACAATCTTAGTAAATACTGCTGAGTAGCAGTTTCAATTTATTCCCCCAGACAATTGCTACTGTTAGTTCGATATTCTATGTGCCACGTTAACCTGGCCTTTTACCAGACAAATGTTAGCCCCCCCTTCAAATTACTGGCTTTATAAATATAAATGATCGCTAAGATTGAGCTACCAGGCTAGTTACACATAAAACTAGTGTCGTAGTGAAATTGTTATTGTTCTTTTGTCAGAGTAAGTAAAATTTATCAATTTTCTTTTTCTTATTTTCATTTTCCCTCTTCCTAAGTTAACGAATAACCATTGTTTACATTTCTCTGCAAGTACGAATCCCCCTCCCACCTTTGATCAAAGCAGTTGAAAACGAAATCGAAACCGGATTGCCCTATTGTTTTATGAGTTTATTGCATATCCAAACCCCCTACCAACCCCCGTGTCACATATACCCCATCTCTCTCTCTCTCTCTCTCTCTTTGTATTGGGAAAATTATTTCTCTGACACTCCTTCTGATCTATATTTTAATTCTTTACATTTTGAAATTTAAGCAGTTTCCTCATTATTTACACCTTATTTCCTACTTTCTCTTTGTTCATATTTTCCTTCTTGCCTCTTTTCTTTCTTTTTTTTATCAACTTCACTTTCTTTCTTTCTTTCTTTCTTTCTTTCTTTCTTTCTTTCTTTCTTTATTTCTTTCCCTTTTTTGTTTGTTGTTTGTTTGTTTCTTTCTTACTTAATTTTCCATCTTGTTTCTTTCTCATTTTATCATTTCCCAATTTTCTTTTTTCTTCCTTTTTTCCCCCTCATCAGAAACTACTTTCGAGCCAAGTGTACTTTACTGTTGAACCACAGTAAAACATCATAGCAAAATAAAACTCAATTAGTCGGTAAAAGAAGATGTTCGATCTTTCTGAAGCAGTAGATATTAATCTAAAAATAAAAATGCTTATTAAAAATGTCTACTCACTAAAATGTAATCTTTATAGTATAAAGAAATGATGTCGGGTTAAAATCTGCATTAACTGCTTAAAATAAATATCTATCTATCTATCTATCTATCTATCTATCTATCTATCTATCTATCTATCTATCTATATATATATATATATATATATATACATATATATATATATATATGCATATCAATATTTATACAGACATAGATATGATATACACATTATGTATATAATAATTTTGGTAATATATATATATATATATATATATATATATATATATATATATATATATATATATATATGCATATACATATATATAAAAGGTAATAAATCCGTTGGTATATAATCCAAGTGGATCCTAGTAATATAAAATAGTAAAATGGATCTGAATGTATTTATTATTACAGAGCAAATAAATAATAGTAAAATAAAAAAAAATAAAAAAATTACCTCATATGGGTATAGACCTATATTAAACCGATGAAAACGTCGTCAATCTTATTCACTCCAGGTTGACCGGGGTTTAATAAGACTCACAATATATATATATATATATATATATATATATATATAGTGTATATTTAGGCAGCATATTTTCATTAAAACAAGTTTCATTCAAACAGAACATATGTCTAAATTAACACAGTCTCTCTCTCTCTCTCTCTCTCTCTCTCTCTATATATATATATATATATATATATATATTATATATATATAAAGAGAACGAGAGATGTCTGATGTATGTGATGAAGTAAGGTGTGCAGAATCGCCAAAATGAGTTCGAATTTTTTTAAAGACTATTTACGTTCTCTCTGAAGGAATGTTGTAAGGTGTTAATGCTTTAAAGGTTTGATTCTGCATAACTACCTTCTTGTTCCTATTCAGATGTCTTTATCAAAAAAGACTTGTACCCGATATGTCTTATTAGTTGCTGGGGAAGATAGTGGAAATAATGGCAACGATGTCAAACAAATCTCCAACAACTTCAACCAGGGATTAATAACGATAAAAAAATATTACGTAAGCCAGCATTAATTTGTTTGTTTATTTAGAGGCATATCAGCTACTTATGTCTTATTTAATGCTGAAATTTAATTTTCTTAGGAGCATTAATAATTTCATTTACAAAAATGTATTGCTGATAATTAAAAAAAATGTATTGCTGATAATTAAAAAAAATGTATCATTGGTCATTTTATTTTTTTACAAAAATGTATAGCTGTTATTTTTTTTTTACTATGAAAATGGTATTGCTGGTATTTTCAATATAAAAAAATATTTTTATACTTTCATAATGTTTTAACCCCAGTTTTGGGGGTTAACTATTTAACCATAGTTGAGACCCTAACAGGTGCTACCACCCCGGATCAGAGTGGACCTGGGAACAACAGCAATTAAGAGGTGGTTCTACCCCCACCCAAAATCTTCCAATAAGACAACTTGATGCCGGATATAGTTTATCGCTATACCCAGGACTGGGCAGCATTAATTACCCTTCCCCTGTATATATCTATCTATCTATCTATCTATCTATCTATCTATCTATCTATCTATCTATCTATCTATCTATAAGCATGTCTGTATACCTATAAATATGTCGGTGTCATCTTTGTGTCAGTGAGGATGAAAGAAGTCGAAGAAGAAATCCTACTGATTCGTATTTGTGAAAAGAATGTTGATTATAGTTTTATAGCTATGAAGCCCAGATGGGGTCGAGTACCAATCCACTTATGATGAGATACAAACTTATTTAGCGGGCATTTTTTTCGTCCCATGCAGCTGTGGAATGGCCTCTACACCCTTAAACCCCTTTCATGAAAACTTCTTTTTCATTTTTCGTTTTAAAATAAAAGACTCTCGTGTTTGTTGAAGAATATGGCACTTCAAGTTAGTACAGTTCGTGCCGGAGAAACAGTCAGTGGCGTTGAACGTTCTAGTTTAATGGACTTCCTTTTGTTGGTACTAAAAAACGACACCGATGTAAAATAACACTGGGGCTCCCAATAGGATCATCGTATTTATAATGGAATCTTCTAATTGCGGAACAACTGCAGGAAATACAAAATGTATTCCTATTTTATGAATTTATTGCTTTCCAGCGATTAACAACGATGAAGCTAAATATCGTCTGCAACACAACAAGCGTCGCCATTTTGAATTTACGGCTTGAAACATGGAATCCAGTAGAGATGTAAAACGATAGAAAAAAAAAGAAAAAAAAGAAGAGTGGGTGAAAAGGGAAGAAAGGAAAATAAGGAGAAAAGAGAATGGTAGAAACAAATAAATAACGAACAGGTGAAAAATGAATTCATTAAATACATGTATTTCAAAAGATGGAACGAGAAAGAAAAATAATTCGAGTTAGGAGAAATGAAGAAAAAAGGAGAGCAAGAACGCCAGAAAAAAAGAGAGAAAAATTCGAAATAGGAATAAAGAATTAACAAAGAAAGATGAAAACCTTGGAAAGAAGAAAGAAAAAACATTTCTAAATATATTTCTACATTAAAATTGGGAAGACGGTTAAGATAAATAATAATAAAAAGAGAAAAACAGAAAGAAAAAAGAGAAACTATTTGGAATAGAAAAAAGAATTCGAAAGGGAGAAAGAAAGTAAGGTTGCAAAAGAGAAAGAAAACAAGTTAAGAAATATGAATAAAAATGGAAAAGTAAAGATTAAATAGAAAAATAAATTAAGAATACAAGGAAGAATGCGATATGATAAGAAATAAATAAAGGACAACAGCAACAATGAATGGGCAGAATGCCATCATCAAAAGAAAAAAATGCCGGATTTTAGAATATAGTAATAACCAAAATCTTGGCATACCGAGTTCAAAATTATGACCGAGTCAGTTTCGCTTATATTTTCCTCATAGTCTTGGACATGAATCTATTTTTCGCCAGCTATCCGTTAAATAACCATGCAGGGGAAATTATCTTGCCTTATGTGGCAGCCAGTCTAGGAAAAAGAAAACGCTCGAATGCAAACCCTCGACTGAGTCTCTTCGCTTTTGGGGATAAAAATCTACACGAATCTGAAATGGCTGTTGAATACATGGCTCCTGAATAGCGTACGGTATCACCTTTTGTAAACTACCTCACTCTTTTTTTATTTATGGGCCATGACCCTTCAGTTTTCTAAAATTTTGTGTTCTTTTCGCTCTTAGCATGGCTTGTCTTTTTCGATACATCCCTAATCTCTGTCCTGCCAACCGTACACACAAGGTCGTTACGTAGGTTTTTTGCTGTTTTTCCTCTTTTCTTCAATATGTCTTGTGAGTGTCCCAATTTTCCAAGCCCTCTTTCCTCATTATGTGACCTAGAAATTTTTAACACGTTTTACAAGGTTGTGTCCTGATTCAAAGTAGAAGTCCTTATTGTTCCCATTTTCTTTAAAACTTCGTCTTTACTCATACCTTCAGTCCAGGTCATTCTCAGTATCCTTCTGTATAACCACATTGCTGTTACTTCGAGTCTTTTCTTCATCTTTTTTCTTTACTGTTAGTTCACCCAATACAAGGACCAAAGACGGTAGAGGTTTGATATTGCATAATGCTTCAGCGCTTTTTCTTTATTTCTAACGAAATTTTCCTGTTTCTTAATACTTTGCTTAGTTTTTCGGAAGGCATCTTTCTCTATTCCAATGCGCCTTAGTATTTCTGTGTTACATTTTCCGCCCTGCATTATCCATTCCCCAAGAGCAAAGCCATTTAATAGCAAATAAGATCTTCAGAATAATGATTGCAAAAACCAAGAAAAGCCACAAAAGCTAGTTGGGCGATGAGACTGCAGTAACAAATAAAAGAAAGATTATGTATAGAAACCAAATATAAATGGAGCTAAATATTTAAGGACTCAGCTGTATGACGAATTGGAAGAATATATGCAAACAGTAAGACAATAGCTATGAGAGCATCAATCATGTAACAATGTTGAAAGGTGTATCTTGACGTATGACCCAAAATCTCCAGGGGCCCCGCCCAAGACTGCACCCCTCTGCGCTACACCGTCGTCTCTTGAAACGGACTATTGCCAACGCAAAACAAAAATCTCAAAGCAGCTTGTATTTCGTGTCTCTTAGGGGACACTATATTTTGTGGTATTATTCTCTTTGTAAATAGTTCTATGTGACCTGCTTGAACAGATACGTATTTCAAGTAACTCCAAATCAATCGTGTCAGTATTTTGCCTATTTAATATTATTATTATTATTATTATTATTATTATTTATCTACTAGTATTATTATTATTTTTATTTATTTCTTATGATTTATTATTATTATTATTATTATTATTTATCGTTATTATTTATTATTTATCTACTGTTATTATTTATTATTATGTTTATTTATTTCTTATGATTTCTTATTATGTTTATTATTAGTATTATTATTATTCATTATTATTATTTATTATTTATCTACTATTATTATTTATTATTTTTATTTATTTATTATGATTTCGTATTATGTTATTTATTTATTATTATGTTTATTATTATTATTTTTTATTTATTTATTATTACTATTATTTATTATTACTTATTTATTATTTATTATTATTATTGTTTATTATTATTATTATTACTTATTATTATTTATTATTGTTAATTATTATTTATTTATTACTTATTTGTCATTATTATTTATTTTTCATTACTATTTATTAATTTATTTATTATTTTATTCATTTGAGTAGAATTTGTTGGCTATCGTTTTAAATTAAGTGACAGAAAGTCCCCCTCAATATTCTTGTTGATTCCGCAAATGCAGTTAACTGGATACTTTCAAGTCTTTCAGTCTCTACAAGATTCGATGGGACGTGCAGGCGTTAATTACAGTTTTAACTTCATCTTTCGCAATTTTCCCAGTTCTACTTTAAGGTTATTTTCCTAATTTTCCCCTTTCTCGCAGTTATGCTCTTCATCTACAAGTGAGCAAAATATTATTAGTACTGTTCTTGGTAGACATTTTAAATGTGTTCCTATTTGACCTTTCCGGTGTATCCTAAATATAAGATGAATCATTGAATAAGCTCATGGCGAGATCTACAGCTATAAAATAACCGTAGAAGTACGCTCTTGTTGCGTCGTGAAATATTTGAAGTGAAAGAATATTGCAATAATGATCGTAAGGATGAATATAGGTAATTATTTATTTTGAAAATAAGAGGCTTCAAATTAAAATACTCATAACTGATAAGGATTTCCATTTCACTGAAGCGGTGTTTTCGGTTCAATTGTTCTACCACCTCCCATCATATTCCCCTGACCTTGCAGTAGATTTTTCGGTTGGTCAGTTTTACTTCCTCCAGCATCTTGACCAGCCGATCATTAGCGTTTTCGGTTGGACTTTTCTACCCTCCTCCTGCCATATTCACCTGGCCTTGCAGCGGCATATGATTAGATTTTTCGGTTGGTCTATTCTACTCCCTCCAGGCATATATACCTGGCCTTGCAGCAGCCTATGATTAGCTAATTCGGTTATTCTGTTTTACTTCCTCCCGTCATATTCACCTGGCATTGCACTGGTCGATCATTAGCTATTTCGGTTGGTCTGTCCCACCCCTTCCGCCATATTCACCTGGCATTGCGCCAACCGATTATTACTTTTTTTCGGTTGCTCTGATATATTCCCTTCCACCATATCCAAACGATGATTAGCTTTTTCCGTTGGTCTGACCTACTCCCTTCAGCCATATTCACCTGGCGTTGTACCAAACGATTATTAGATTTTTCAGTTTGTCTTTTCTACTCCTTCATGCCATATTCACCTGGCCTTGCACCAACCGATTATTAGCTCTTTCGTTTGGTCTGTTCTAATTATACGCACTGTCAAATAAATTCACAGCTAATAATTACATGATTTTTTTTTATCTTAGCAATTTATCTCTGAAGAGAATCTTGTATGAGATTTAAACTACTTTGGAAAATGAAAGAAAAACCCGAAAACTATGGTGTCTCTCTTAATCAGTTTAATAAGATCACAAAAGAAATTTGTTCCGTGAATTTGACAGGATTAAAATAAAAATAAACTTAATGCGCAGATTATTCAGCTACAAAACAAACACACACACACACACACACACACACACACACACACACACTAGTAACCATGACCACTTCATTGCTTTACTATTTGAATTTCCTGGTGAAACATAATTCTTAATTTAACGATTGAATAAGCTCCTTGTCAGTTTCATGGCTATAAAATACCAGAAAATATTCCTTCATTGCTTCGTAAAAATATTCCTTCATTGCTGCGTAAAATATTTGATTTTAACAAAATACATGTGAATCCAGATATACACCCTTGTGAAAATTAATTGAAACAACCACTTTAGTTACCTTTCTTTCAGCATACGGTCAGTTTTAGACCCCCTGGAGTGACGCGGTGTAATCGATTTCTATTGTTCCTCAGATTAAGTCATTTACAGTGGTGTGCAGTAATCTATTTTGGGAGTGTGTGATGAAATTTGTTTGGCCTTGAAACATATTGCGTTATCCGTGATTGCATCAGAGTTTCATCTCGCCCAGACACTAATGTCTCGATTGTTGATTAGTTGTCCTACGG